TGGTACTCTTTTACTCTCTTAAAAATGATTGATGACCCCCCCCCAAGAGCTTTTGTTTATATCTCAATATTTATTGTATTAGAAATTAAAATATTTTATTTTTATGAAAAAAAGTTTTGATTTCTTAGACCCAGTGAAAGGTTTTCACTGTACTTTGAGAAGCATTGTTCTATTAACATAACATTATATATGTATATGTGTGTATATATATATATATATATATATATATATATATATATATGTATACACACACACACACACACATATATTTTACATACCCATACACACCCTGCACATATATAATTCAACGTGGTAGCATTACCACAGCAGAGATGCTAGATGTAAGAATGAATCAAGCACTGGGCCGGGACTCAGGAAGACTTGAGTGTAAATCTTCCCTCAGATACTTCCTAGCTGTGTGATGCTGGGCAAGTCACTTAACTTCTATCTACCCCAGTTTCCTCAACTGTAAAATGGGGATAATAATATCACTTATCTATGAGGGTTGTTGTGAAGATCAAATGGCACGATATTTATACCGGTACGTAGTAGACACTTAATAAATGCTAATTCTCTTCCCCTTCCTCCCCTTCTGAACTTTCTTCTGTTTTTTGTGTTTTTCAAATGCTTAATTGACCCTTTTCTACTGTTTTATAGTGCGACATCACTATCACTGCTGTCTCCAGGTCCTCTCAACTCTCCCTCCTGCAAAATAAAAGCCTTCTCTTGAAGTCCGACAAAATAAATTTGTGTTATATATCTGAAAACGTCTCTCATTCAGTACCATCCATCACTTTTCCAAGAAGAGTTGGTAGACATATTTTATAGAGTCTTCTGGGGTCATGACTGGTTATGTCATTGATCAGAGTTCTGGAGATTTTCAAAGGTGTTTTTCTTTATAAATATTGGAGTTGTTTATAGAAATAGTTTTCTTGGTTCTGCTCATTTCATATTCTGCGTCAGTTCAGAGAAGTCATCCCAGTTTTCTTTGAATCCCTCTGTTTGGACATTTCTTATGACCCAATAAAGTTCTATTATAATTATATGCTAATTATCCCAAGTTGTTCAGCTGTTCACCAACTGATGAATATCCACTTTTTTCCCCCAGTTCTTTGATGCAATGAAGAAGTCTTGCTATAAGCATTTCCCATGTATGGCTCCATTTACTCTGTCTTTGATCTCTTTGAGTATATGTTTAGTACTAATGTTGCTGGATTTAAAGGGCATGTACAGATTAGTTCCAAATTATTTTTCAGAATGGATGGACCAATTCACAACTCCAACAACAATGCATAAATCTGTGCTGTCCTTCCATGGGTCCTCCAATAATTCATCAATCTGGTTACTGGGAGGTGAAACTTCAGTGTTGTTTTAATTTTAATTTATCTTATTATATGTAATTTGGAACATTTTTCATATGGTTGTTGACTATTGTTATTTCAGTCATATCTGACTCTGTGACCACATTTGGGTTTTATTGGCAAAGATCCTGGAGTGGTTTGCCATTTCCTTCTCCAGCTCGTTTTACAGATGAGGATACTCAGGCAAACAGGTTAAGTTCATGTCCAGGGTCACACCGATAGTAAGTTTCTGAGACCCATGGGGCTGGGCATATTCTTCCTCTTTTCCTAGTTATACCTTAAGCAGCATCCTTGAAAGCCCGGCTTAAGCCACACTTCCTTTGAGAAGCCTTCCTGGAATATCCCAGGCCAGAGTGATTTCCCTCACACATGAACTTATAGATATATTGGGAAAGAGTATTGATTGTAGGGTCAGAATCACAGAATCTTAGCGGTGGACCTGGATTCAAATCTTGTTGCTGCCACTTTACTAGCTGTGTGAGCCTGGATAAATTATTTGCTCAGGATCACCCAGCTAGCTTAGGACAGTGTCCCATATCTAGCACATACACGAAACACTCAGTTGGATTTCCTTCCAAGGATGCAGATAGCAATTCATCCATGCCTACCCACCCCATGTGACCCTTGTCTATGTTCTCCCATAAGTGCACAACACAAGATTGACCCAATGTGCTGGGGAAGGGTGGGTAGGGAGACTTCTTTCCCTTCTTCGGATATCTTCAGTGTCACAGTAAAACACATAGGCTGTTCAACTGGTATCCCATACTTTCACCACAAGACCAATCATATATTTTTAAAATAACATCCTATATTCTAGTTTTTTTGTAGTTGTGTGTTTTAGTCTGCTCATACACACCATGCCTAGCATACAGAAGCCACTTAATAAATGCTTGTTGAAAGAATAAGTGAATGATTCCTCTCTGAGCCTCAGTTTCTCCCAGTGGCAAATGAAAAGGAGAAACAATGAAGCATAGCAGGTAGAGATCTAGACTTGGAGACAAGAAGACCTGTGCTCAAATCCTACCTCTGACATTTAATGGTTGTCTTTAAGCATTAGTGCTCAAATGCTTATTTCCTTCCTTGTTTGCTTCCTTTTGTCCTCCAAGGGCAAGTCACATCTAAAATTGTTTAAGCCATAAGCAGGTTTCAATCTGTGTTGGGTGATCTGGGAGTAACCCTTTCTGGGAAAATTACAAATCCTTTCTTGAGTCAAATGTGGGTAATGATACTCGGCCTACCCATCTTACAGTTGTTGGTTGTGAGGAAAGTCACTCAAAAACTGAAGAGAGTTACCCAAACTTAGGCCTTTTTTGGTCTGCCCTGTATAACCTTGGGTAAATTATTTAATCTTCCTGGGCCTCAGTTTCCTTATTTGTAAAATAAGGAGAGGAAATGGCCTCTGAAGTTTCTTCCAGCTCTAAATCTATGACTCTATGAACCTATCACTTAATTTCTCTGGGCCTCAGTTTCCTTTTCAGTAAAATAATCCCTTATTTTAATAATCCTTTATAAGCTTTTCAGTGTCTCTTTGACTCTAAACCTATGATTCTGTCACTGTACCACCTTGGGACTCGGTGTTCTCATCTGTAAAATGAGGGGATTAGACTAAGTGGCCTCTACTTGCCCTTACAGTTCCAAGTCTATGATCCTAATTATTTCTCACACATCACACTCTGCCTTGTATTTTCATTTATCTTTTGATCTATCCTACTGGTCCAAATATAGCTCTCTCTCTAAAATTAAAAACAAACAAACCTTTAGACAAAGAAAGAAAAATAAGACTAATGATAACCTGCATTTGTGTTTTCTTCCATTTAGATTGTGTAGAAAAATGTAGCCCATAGCTGGGCCAATACACTGAATGTCTTTTCTTTCCAACTGGATCATGTCATCCTTTGAGGCTGAAGACCCTCTCCCATAAAGCCTAGCAGAATGCCTTGCTTGTAGTATATGTTTAATAAATACTGTTGCTAATTGAGTGAAGTCCACGAAGAGTCCTAAATCTTTCTCAGTCTCCCTGTGTGATCATCAGCTGCTCATAAGCTCACTCCTTGTCCATAACAACATGGAGGAAGAAGACTATGTGTCTCTAGGAGCTGTGTTCTTTTAGACTTCCTCTACTCCCGACCAGTTTCTTCTTTTGTGCACCAGCATTGTTCCAACTCAACTAAAATCACAGGAAGCCATGCAACAGACCCCAGGAAAAGGGGTGTTTCCCTTGCTTGGGTGTCTTCCGGGTAATAAAAGTAGAGTTGTGCTGGGAGCAGAATTTTTTTCTGCCCTAAGAGGGAGCCACAGCCTCATCTATGGCTCAGCTGGACAATGCTGCAGAAGAGAGAAATTCCCCAGCCCAAGGATGGATTACATGTGTATTTCTCCACTTCTTTTCTTCTGTGTTTGTAATTGGCAGCAATCCCTTGCAGGACCTGCTCTACCAGTGCCATATGTCCTGGGAATCTTCTGGAACTTTCCTGCCTCTCCTCTGACAGGCTAGGCAGGGAGCCTACGGTCAGCAACCCTTCCCCTCCCTCTCCCCCTCCCCATCTATCCGTTTCCCATCCTACTGTCCAGGGAATAGTTTATTTGAAATTTGATTCTTCAATTCAGCTTGTCTGACAGAGGGCCCTCTCTTTATAGCTCTGATCTATAATTTACCTGAGGATTTGGCTGCTTCTTTTGTCCTTCCCACAGCTGTCCTGGCCAGCTCCTAACATTTGTCATATGCTTAAAGATAATAGAGCTGAAAGGGACCTTTGAGATCAACTTATCCACCCCCTTATTCAGGCAGGCAAGCTATTATCATCCCAATTTCATAGATGAGGTGATTAAAACCCACAGAGGTTAAATAAATTGCCCTAGGGTCACCAGCTAATTAATGATAGAGAAAGACTAGATTCCAGTCTCTTGCTTCACAGGGAGAACAGACAATAGAATCCATTTTGGGATGTCCAATATCCATTTCATAATATATAAGAAATCTAGAGATAGATTCAAAGACTGTGGAAGAAAGTTTCTTACATTCTCACTGCCATTTATCTTTCTCCCCCCAAAATCAATCAAAATTAAGGGATATTAAAGAGTTCAGCTTGAGCAGATGGCCAAGACAAGCTAGGCCTACATTTTATTTCCATTCATTGCAAAAAAATTCCCTTTTTGGAAACCATTTAAGAGGCCCTGCCTTGAAGAAGAATGCTATATGCTTGATTAAAGAGAGGTTTCCCTAAACATAAAATTTTAAAGTCTAAAGGTACCTCAGTTGTCCTCTTGTCCAACATTTGAACCAGAGCAGTGATCCTTTCGATGTTTTCATGGAAAAATAATCCTTCTGCTTTTGCTTGAGGAGCCTTGGAACTATAACACCAATGGGTCCATTTTAGGCTGCGCTGGAAACCTTTGCTTCAAGTGATTTCAGGTCTTAGTTCTGTTGTTGCCACTGACTTAAAATATGGCTCTAGGCCAGTCAAATATCCTCTCCAAGCCTTGGTTCCTCTGTCTGCCAAAGTGGGACTCCCCTTATCTCCACTGTGGCCTCCCTGGTATGGAGAGGTTTGCTAGGGAATAGAATGAGGTAATGCTTGGGTAGTCCAGTGTTGTCATGGAGCCTGTATCCATCAGCCAATTATAGAACTGGAACTAGTAGAAAGAGTTGTTGCAAAGAATTCTGAAGGAAGAAGCCTGAGGGAAGGAATCAAGGTTGAAAGTGAGAGGCTGTATTTCATCCTCCATTCTGGCACCAAGTTAACTTTCTTCCAGAGTTGAGTATGTAGCCAGATAATGCTTTCTACTCCTTTGGAATTTCCTACAGAGTTCTTGGAAGTTAGATTGCTGTGCTTATGGTTTTAGCTAGTGCTGTGCTTAACAATTCAGTTTGAAGCTAGGCCCAGAAAGACTATGACCAGTGGCTGTGATAGCAGTCAGACCAGGTTTGGTGAGATGGTCCTAACTACCTTTAGAGTCCACATCTGTCTCCCATGACTCTAGCTTAGGATAAAGGGGGAGAGAAGATTGGTTTCCAAATTAGAAGAGTAGGCAAGCTCTGACTTCTTTCAAGGAGGGGGAGACATCAAAAATAGTCAGTTCCCTGCTGTGGTTGGCAGCATCTCCTGTTACCTGTGTATGCCCACAGATTGTTCTCCCTCTTTTCTGCTCCTCTGTTCTTTCCCTTGCTACAATTTATTCCCATTATTATGTAAACAAAGGGCCACTAACCCTTGTTGTGTGAAAGTCAGGTGCCTTGCTTGTAACTGCACAGGTAGTGCCAGAGCCAAGATTCAAACCATATGTTCCTAGCATCATATCTAGTGCTGTTTTCCCTGTGCCAAAATGCCTTAAGATGTGAAAGCTTTTCAAAAGAAAACATCTTACAAGAAAACAGTGATACCCATAATAACCCAATGATAAGTGCTTATTGGGACTCAGCTAGTTAACTGTGTGCAGCTGGGTCTGTCCTTTGTAATGTGCACAAACTCTCAGTATGTGGTTAGAGATACTGACCTAAACCAAATTTCTGCCCAACTGCTTTTGAATGTTTCCAGCAATTTTTGTCAAATATTGAATTTTTATTCTAGTAGTTGAGGTTTTCAGGTTTATCAAACACTAGCCTATTAGGTTAATTTATTTCTGTATGCTGTGTACCTAATCTATTCCACTGATTAATCACCTTCTCTTTTTCTTCAGTGACTCCTTTCCATCTGTCTACAAATATTTTCCATTTTACTCAATCTTAAAAAAAAAACCCTTCCCTTGATGAAATGCAATTAACACCTTTCTTTCTTCTCCTTTTCACTGCCAAAATTCTTTCAAAATTTTTCTACATACATTATGCTCCTACTTCTTCACCACTTATTCAATAATTCCTGTACTCACTATTCTATCGAAACTATTTCTTCCAAGGTAACTACCAACTTTTGAATCACCATGTCTGGTGGCCATTTTTTCTGTTCTCATCCTCCTTGACTTTCTGAAGCATTTGATACTAATGACTACCTCTTCTTTTTGGATGCTTTTCCCTTCCTTGGCTCCCAATTTAAAGCATTCTTGTAGTTCTTTTCCTCTCCCTATAACAGTTCTCTTTTTTGCTTTGTCCTTGTCTTCTTTCTGACCACTTAAGTTGTGTTATCTTCATGGTTCTGCTCTCAACATTCTTCTTTTCTCTCTACTTTCTCCCTTGGCGATCTTGTTCATCCCCCAGGACTTCACCCATCACCTTTATGCAGATGACTCCCAAATTCCGAAGTACTGCCTGACATTTAAGACCTACAATCTAACACTAAGATACCTTTCCAACTTTATCTCATAGAACTCTTTCCTACTTTATGCTTGAGCCAAACTGAACCGTCTGTCCCTTAAACATACTGTATACTTTGTTATCTCCATGCTTCTGCTCATGATATGCCCTATTTTTTTAAACACCATCTTACATTCTCTTAGCTTTTTGAATGCCTACTTTTTTTTTAAAGCTAAACTCACATTCCTCCTCATTATCACTAGTAAGTTTTCTAATGTTTTTGTGTTGTATTGTAAGAAGGTTAAGCAGATGACCAGCCTCAAACATTAGTCACCCCTCAGCCAGCTATTTAACTTGTTATCTGGAATTCTAGGGTAATCCAGAGGTATGTTTGGATATTTCCTCATTAATTGAAAAAATTATAACCTCTTTCTAATTAATCAGCTCAGAGGCCCATAACATAATGTCAATAGTACTGAAATATTGAATTAGTTTAATAATTTCCCAAAATTTTCCCTAATAAGTAGTTTTTTCATATCTTTCTCTACATCAAAACCTCCAATCTCCTAGGATTAATTCAATATTCAAGTTATTGGATATGTCATTTATTAACAGCACAGTCAATAATAACATGTTTTATCTGTGAAAAAAATCATAGCTAGAGTTACTTCTAATCAACACCGTAACTGTAGATGACTCCTCTTTACTTCTGGAAACATAATTCCCCTAATAAGTTCATTTAACATACCAAACAAAGTCTTTCATTAAGAATTTGCTTTATTTTCTTAGTAAGGAGAAGGTTAAAACTGTTCTATTAGGAAATAATTTCTGTCCATCTTTCTTTCTGTCTTCTACAGTTTCTTTTAAGACATAACTTTTAATAGTATCCCTTCAGATTCACTCCTCATAAAATTCTCTTTATCATGTTTCTTTAAAAAATAACGGTCTAGATATTTCTCCTAAGAAAGAAAATTTTCCTCATTCTCTTTCTGTCTTTTCCACATTTTTCTCAAACTATCTTCATTAGGGCTCTATTCTCAATTTTTCAAAAATTACCAGCCCAAGCTGCCAAAAATTAAAAAATCGACTTAGCTTTTAAAGCTACAGTGATAGTAACTTTGGCATCTATAGGTGACACTTTAAAAACAGCAGTTACAATAGTTATTTATGTGTATGTATCATGTACACTTATCAAACTGTAAGCTCTATGTGGACTACCTTATTTCAATTCAATTAGATAAACATTTATTAAGCACCTATTGTTTGCCAGGCACTGTGCACAGGGGCTACGAAGACAGGCAAAAAAAAAGACAGTCTCTGCCCTCAAGGAGCTTACAGTCTAAAGGGAGAGACGACATACAAACAAATGTATATGAATCAAGTCACATACAGGATAAATAGGAAATAATTAAAAGAAAGAAATCACTGGGAATAAGAGGAGATCAGTGGTTGGAGTAGAGTAGGGAGAGCATTTTAGGCCTGGGGGAGAGTCAGAGAAAATGCCTGGAGTGGAGAAATGGAGTATCTTGTTCATGGAACAATTAGGAGGTCAGCATCACTGGATCAAAGGAGTAAGGTGTAAGAAGACTGGAAAGGTAGAAAGGGACTAGTTATGAAGGGCTTTGAATGTCAAACAGACCATTTGTTATTTGTTCCTGGAGGCAATAAGGAAGTCAGTAGAGTTTATTAAGTAAGGAGATGACATGATCAGATTTTCCTTTTAGGAAATTTACTTTAATGGCTTAATGGAGAACAGAGTGAGGAGAGACTTGAGAAAGGCAGACCTACAAGCAGGCCATTTTACAATAGTCAAGGCATGAGATGACAAGGGCTTGGTGACAGTCAAAGGAGAGAAGGGGGCTTATTTGAGAGATGCTGCAAAGGTGAAATCAACAGGCTATGGTAACAGATAAAATAAGCATGAGGGTGAGAGATAGTGAAGAATCCAGGATGACTCCTAGGTTGCAAGCTTGAGGGACTGGGAGGATGGTGTCTAAACTGGATTTCTTCTAGCACCCAGCACCATATTTTGTACATATTAAGTGGTTAATAAATGTTGAGGTGAATTGAATTGAGGACTACCTTCTCTACTACTGGTCAATCCTATATAGAAAACATCTTCTTCTAGTTTTGATATCATAGCTGTAATATTTTAGAAGCTTCACACATAAGAGATGTTTAATGTTTGTTGAATTAAATTGATTTGACTCAGGGTTCACTTAGAGTGCTGAACCAGCTGTAGAACTACATTACTTAGATCAGCAGAGGGCAGCAATCTCTTGCCTAAGTAGATTACTACAGCAGTCAGCTGAGTTAAGTCTGTCTCCTGAGCCCTCTCCCTCCCTTGCTGATTTCATCCACTCCCATGATTCATTTATCATCTTTAGACAGATGACTTCTAAATCTGGACACCTATCCCTGATACCTTTCCTATATCTCTAACTTCCTGCTGGACATCTCCACCTAGAGGTCCTTTTGGCCTTCCAAATTAGTTATGCTCGAAATTGAACTTACATCTTCCCTCCTCCAAATTTCTCTATTTTTGTTGAGAGTACCAACATTCTTTGGCAGCGAGGTGGTGCAGAGTACTGGGCCTGGAGTCAGGAAGACTTTCTGAGTTTAAATCTGGCCTCAGATACTTACTGGCTGTGTGAACCTCGGTGAGTCACTTACTTCTGTTTGTCTCAGTTTCTTCATCTATAAAATGAGCTAGAGAAGGAAACAGCAAACCACTGCAGTACCTTTGCCAAGAAATCCCCCAGTGGGGTCATAAAGAGTCAGAAACAAGTGAATAACAACAACAGGTATTCTCTCAGGCATCCAAACTTACTCTGTGCAAAGTCAGCTACCCGTACAGTCAGTCTGAGTGACTCCATGTTAAAACCTTGTTTAAACTTTGAGTACATGCACAACTAACCTAGAGTAGATGGTGGTGCCCATGCTCCCTAATCCTCTCTCCTCATAGTTACATGTACCAATCAAAATACTTTGGGAGGAGCTGAGGTGTCACTAATCCCTTCTCATAATTTGGGTATCAGTCAGCTACTTTTGCCCTTATATGGACATTGTTTAACTCCTTTCTATACAAAGCATTGTGCAGTTTGAATGGGAGCTGGCTGCACCCAATCACAAGCTGCCTTGGTGTGCTAACAAACTCTTTTTGTCTTATTTTCTGAATTTGCCTTATTGAAGAGGGTGAGGCCCAAACCAAAATTTCTTTTATCAGCTCACATTCATCTTGCTCCTGTGTCCTACTGATTGTCTCTCCGTAACATCTCCTATTTATGTTTCCTTTCTGATCACTTAGCCAACATTCCCAGTTGAGGCTCTCATCACTACTCACCAGGATTGATGTAATAGCCTCCTAATTGGTTTCCAGGCCTCTAATCTTTCTACTCTCTAATTCATCTTCTAAAGGCAGAAATCTAACCATAGCACTCTCTTGCTAAAGAAATTTTCAGTGACTCCTGGTTGCCTCTAGAATAAAATACAAATTTTTAAGTTTTGCACTGATGGAAATAATAATAGCACC